CCTTGTTGATCTCGCCTTTGCACTAGCAAGATCAACCACTGAACCATCCTTTGGAAAGCGACAAAACAATAGTTTTTGTATAAAGATTTCTCGAGCAATCGCAATACAAAAAAGGGCTATTTTATTTAGATATTTCTGGGTTCAAAAAGACTCTACCAGAGAAGAAGAGATAACTCCATATTTATAGGGCAAGATATATGTTGAAATAAACACTTCTTTTCAAGATGTCTATTGGGAACAAACACTTCTTTTCAATTTTTATCCGTTAGAAACTCTTCCAAAAGTCATTTGGTTTGATTTGAATTCCAACTCACATGTTTCCTTGCCTTTCAAAGTTATCCACTCTCTTCAGAAACTTATCTGAATTTTATCTCTTATTTTGGCGTAAATGGTTCGAATCAGATAAATGTGATTCGAACCAAAATCGTAAATTTTCGGATTCTAGTTTTACGTAAATGGTTCGAACCATATAATTATGATTCAAACTAAAGTTACACTTTCTCAAATGCATTCTGTGCAATTGCTTCGAACCAAGTTTTTATGGTTCGAACCCAAATCCTAGAAATATTTTGAAAATTCTTCAACATTCCTCCACCATTTTCAAAATAGGATAGCCCACCAATTGTTTTGGAAATCTTATGCATACATGAAGGTATCTTACGATTTGAACCTTTCACTTAGTGAACATGTGTTGACAAATTAGTCAGCATTGCATAGTAGACTAATGCTTTGAACCAACAATTCTAAGTGACTAATTGGGCACATGTCACACACAAGACTTCATGCTTTCCAAAGAAGGAATTCAGCATCCACCGACACAAAACTAACCATGTGTCTTGTATCCTTTTCACGAGTACTGTTAGAGTCAAGTCCCTAACTCCTAGAAGCGGCACCACTTCCACTCATATAGGTAGATCCCATCAAAAGTGCCACCGCATTTAGTACTTTAACAGAAATCTGTTATAAGACCTATTAAGAGTAAAGCTCATCCTCCTTTTTGTTTCATGTGGTTACCAAGTACTCTTCCACTTGGGATGGTATTATTGACAAATTGAGTACTTGCAGTCACATTCATATGATGTACTTTACTCATTGAACTTAAGACTTGAAGTTTTTATCAAGCGTTAAGTCAAGGTTCCATCATGTGTGACTTTGTCAATGGACTTGAGACCCATCCCTCTCTTTCTCTTGTGAATTTTTCTTTTTGATAATCCTTTTAATCAAGGATTCATGAAGTTAATTCACACAAGACCTTGCAAAGATTATGGTGATCACCTCATTTAAGAATGTCTTTATAAGCACTTGATGACATCCTATTATTTTTAGTCATCATACACATTCATATAAGAATATCTTAAAATAATATGAACTCTTGAAAAGTGTAGACATCTCCAAGAACAAGCGCTATCATTTTTTCTCAGGACCAAGTGTTGTCACTTTTAAATAGTGCCATATAATCTTGTAATATCATGGACAAGTGGAATTCTTGCTTCCTCCACTTCAAATTAAATTTTATTTGCTTTTCATGTGTGAAGGACTTTTAGTCCTTATTCCTCTCACTCATGGGATTGTTCCCACCATTTTAAATATTGTTTGTCAATTTTATGACATTAACATTCTTCATGAGAGGCACATTAGGACAGTAAAAAATGTTTCAAATCTTCTTAATACTTTCTGAGTTTCCTATGTAATTGGTTCGAATCATCTTTGAGTGATTTGAACCAAAAATTCTGGAACAACTCAAATCATTAGATTCATTTTCCATGACCAAGAGCTATTCACTCTTGCTATTTATAGGATTCTTTAAATCCAAATTTCTTTATCTTTTGGACCATCTTTCCAGGCTTCCAAAAATCAGTCAAGTGCACAAGGTTGCACTAGTTTCTACAAATGATCTTATTAAGAGATAGTATTTAAACAAGGATTCAAAATCCTTCATGACTTATCAAAACTGAGAGCCTTTTTACTTGGCCTATTTTCTCTTAGTTTATACTAAGACCATCAGTTGGTTCTCCAAATGGGTTTGCCAAATCCCATTTTAGTATTTCTTTCTTTAACATGGCTAAAGAACCATCATGAGACTTGATTCTCACTTGTTTCAATATTCATATGCTGGTATATAATCTTACAAGCATAAATAAAAGGCATTAAAAGTAAGAAGTAGACATATGCTTTAAGCAACCTTTCATTAATGAAACATGACCAGATTCATTCGCCTTTTATATTTTCACAAGCCTCATATTAAAAACAGTAATCATGTTTAACACATGTACAAAAAACTCAATGATTTTAGCTAAAACTATCATATACATAGACATGCTTATAACATAATCCAAGTAAAGGAAATCTCATTGACTTTAATAAGCCTTAAGCAAACCTTAATAAGATCAGGTCTAGAAGTAAGATATCATACTTACACTCCATAAAGCTTCATAAGTATTCATCAAAGAACAGTAAATAATCATTACTAAATGAAAAGAAAAACATGACTTTATTTTTATCACATTAGTAATCTCAAAATCAAGGCACAATCATGATCTTAAAACATGATCATATTCAAATCCATAAATATCTTCCTTCTCACAGCCAAGAACCATGCTATCAAGTCTGAGATTTATTTAACCTCCAAATGGGATTTAAAGACCCATTTTATTTCTCTTGCTTCATTGTGCCAAATGACGTTTAATTATGAATCTATGCACAGTCATTTGCATCTTTGATAACATCTTTAAAGCCATTCTCCAGGAGATGTTTTCTCCTCATATTTAATTAAATAGATACAAGATATAAGCATGGATGAACAGCCTGTGAAACAATATCACTAAATGCAATGTTTCATTCAAAGAAATTTGATTGATAATGATATGAAATCATCATTCAAACTTGAAGAATTAATTTCTAAAACTAACTCATGTATTTAGATCATGAGCACTGTTTTCTTTTTTCTTTATAAACCCACTCAAAATTTGTTTGCAAAACAAAATCATATGAAAAATTCATGCCAATTAAGAGCATAAATTTATTTTACGTACCTATTCCTTCTGTATTGAGTTTCAATCTGTTGGCACTTTGTTTTTCTTTTGCGTTGATATCATGCATCATCATCACCTTATAATTCAAAAACTTTATTTGCATCCTGTGGTTGATTCATCCACCGTCACTCATTGACAATTTGATTACACGATTGCTTTGTCACACGATTGCTATAATCAATTTAATAAACCACCACTTTTGTAGATGGGTTAATCACACCAGAAATCCTTTTTCCTTTTGTCACTATCACACGCCAAAACTCCCTGGCTTCACATGCATTTTGTAACGCAAGTTTCTTCTCAATTATCCAATAAGCCATGATCTCAAAAAACTGAATAAATTAGACTAAAGATTGTTGGAGAAATAAGGGGTTAGAAATGAGATCATTAGATCATTGGCTTCAAGGCGTACTGCAAATGCCACTTTCCTTTAAGCTAATTTCGCCCCCACCAAATTTGGTATGCAAAAGGTGTAACCCGAAATGCCCATAGGATACAATGAAGCGCCTTGTTGATCTCGTCTTTGCACTAGCAGGATCAACCACTGAACTATCCTTTGAAAAGCGACAAAACAATAGTTTTTGTATAGGGATTTCTCGAGCAATTGCAATACAAAAAGGGGCTATTTTATTTAGATATTTTTGGGTTCAAAAAGACTTTACCAGAGAAGAAGAGATAACTCCATATTTATAGGGCAATATATATGTTGGAATAGACACTTCTTTTCAATTTTTATCCGTTGGAAACTCTTCCAAAAGTCATTGGGTTTGATTTGAATTCCAACTCACGTGTTTCTTTGCCTTTCAAAGTTATCCACTCTCTTTAGAAACTTATCTGAATTTTATCTCTTATTCTGGCGTAAATGGTTCGAATCAGATAAATGTGATTCGAATCAAAATCATAAATTTCCAGATTCTAGTTTTACGTAAATGGTTCGAATCACATAATTATGATTCGAATCAAAGTTGCATTCTCAAATGCATTCTGTGTAATTGCTTCGAACTAACTTTTTATGATTCGAACCCAAATCCTGGAAATATTTTGAAATTTCTTCAACAAACTGTCTGGAGTTCTTACTGTCAT